TTCCACCTCCAAGGAAGAAGTACCAGATTTCCTAGAATTCTCAAGAGAAGGCCGTGCCCACCGAAGTCTCATTGGCTATCTCCAGATTGACAGGTTAGACTCCACCCTTACACTCTTAATCCTTCACTTGACACCAGATTAGGTGACTACCACAATCATATAAAGTAAACTTTTGTTGAAGATATTTAAAGATGGTTTCCTCCAGATATTCAAACCAAATTTAGTAGAAGATGTAGAAAGAGGAATTTATGGCTGAGATCAGAAAGATGACAGCTGAAAGCAGAAAATATAATATAAATGGTTACCTGTGTTTCACTGACTGCATATTAACATTTGACTGTGTGGATCATAACAAATTATGGATTACATTGAAATTTTTAAAATTCTATCACAATTAATTATGCTAATTAAATCCCGTACATAAACCAAGATGCAAGTGTTCTAACAGAATAAGGTTTAAAATCAGGAAAGGTATGAGTCAGGGTCTCGTGGTTTAAAATCAGAAACGGTGTATGTCAGGGCTGCCTGCTGTCACTAAGTTCGTTCTATGCGGAGAAAGTAATGCAAGAAGCTGGGACATATGAAGAACAGAGCACTGGGATGAGAGGAAAACTCATTAGCAAATTGCAATCTGCAGATGGTACAACCTACTTGCTGAAAGGGAGGAAGACTAGAAGCAGTTACTATGAAGGTAAAAGACTATAGACTTCAATGTGGATTAGACTTCAATTAAAAAACATTCTCACAACGAAAACATCATAAACTGGGAAACGGGTGAAGCTGTCAAGTATTTCCATTGACTTGTATGCACAATCAGCACCCATGGCAGTAGCAGGCTGAAAAAGAGATGTATAGATGTATTGCGTTGGGAAATGTTATTGCAAAAAAACTCTCTTGTTAAAATGTAAATATGTCACTTTGATAGCAAAGATGTGCCTGTTTCAAGTCATGGAAATTTTTAATACCATGTATATGAAAGTTGGACAACTAACTAAGAAGACCAAAGAAGAAGAATTGTTACCTTAGAATTTTGATGTTGGAAAAGAATATTAAATATATCATGGATTAGCATAAAAATGAAAATTTGTGTTGAGAGAAGTACAGTAAGAATACTCCTTACAAGTAAGGATGTATATATATATATATATATATATATATATATATATATATATATATACACACACACACACACACATATTCAAAGGCATTATATATATATATATAATTTGGTGTATATAGGGTCTCTTTGAGTCAGAACCCCTTCTCTGGGATCTGATCACAACTAGACACGATTATTCTTAAGTACCATTTTAGTTCCTTATATTATGTAATGAAATGTATGTTCTGAATATTTCTTTAGGAAATCAAAGGGAAAAATTAAGTTTTCCCGCAATGGATACTGTTAGAAGAATGGACTCCAGTGTGGACTCAATCCTCTCCATCACAACAATCTTCTTTTCTTACCTCGACCTCTGTGCATGCCTACCTGTTTGCAGAGAACTGTAACTATTGAATGTGTTGCAGGTAACTAAAGCTATTATTCTTCTTTTATGACTCTTTGCTTAAAGATTTGCTCTGCACTATTTGTGTCTAAAAAATAAACTCTTCCGAAGCTGTCATTTGACTTGGGTCTCAAATAAGGGTGTCTAGTGGTCTCAAAAGTAAAACAAAATGAACATTTCTTTTAAAAGCTAAATATAATAACAGAGGAATTAATCAGCCCTCTGATAGTATAATAAAGTTTCTCATTTGAAGGCTTTTAATTTGTTTTCCAATGAACATGACAGCAACGTATTTTTTTTATTATTTGTATGTGTGTGTTTATTAAACTAGTTAATAGGAACCCTGGAGAACTTAGCATCATCTGACCATTACTGTTGTTTACTTTATGCTAACTCCCCATTAAACCATCATATTTTAGTCTCAGACTTGAAGCAGGGGAATTTACCTTTGTTTGCTTGAATCAAAGGTTGTGTGAATCATTTGTGCTCTGCTAATAATCTATATATTGATTCTTCAAATGCCCAACGCAGGACAGTAATATGGCCCAGCAATCTGTTCCCATTAAGATAACAGCCAAGAACTCCCTGTCAGCTGCTCCACTCTTAGTATTTGAGGTCAACTTGAGTTGGAATTGATTCAAAGACAACTTAAATAACCTTGAGCCGATATGCCTCAGCATCTTCACTAGCCTGACTTTTCTTCCATATAAATAGGTTGCTTGGGTGGTCCCATTGGTGTTTATTATCTATTATGTGGTGTAGTACATCTCTAAATTTATAAGGGATAAGAATTAAGATAAGCACAAAAGTGCTTCCTGGGAAGTCACACACATCTCCATGTTCCAACATTTTGTTTTACCCTTTTTAATAACTGTCAGCTCCTGCAAAGCACCCCTACCTGCTGCCTTTGATCATTTGTTTCCAGGACCACACAGAACTCTCAGATGATATCGTTGTATGGTTTATTAGGAACATAACAGACTGAACTCGGGATTTCAGTTGGGAACTTAAGACAAAGGGAACAACTTAATCAGGATTAACTTGGAAGTAACAGAAACAACTCGGGCTCTGAGTCAGGAAGCACATCAATCAAACCTGGAAGGCTTCCCCAACGTGAGAGCCCAGTGCATCTTGAGTGTCGGATAGCTTTGAACCAGGAAAGCGGCTGCCAGCGCTTTGTTGTTCTATTTGTTGCTGCTAGCCCAAGTCAGTCAGCCTAGCAACTTGATATGCACAGATACGCACCGACTTACTAACTAATCTGTAGTAAACAGTTTCGCTTATTTTTCACTAGTGATGAAACACTTGTGAAATTGTTCATTACTGATTAGTAAGCAAAAGTAAGTTTGTGCCCCGCTATCATGACCTCAGTGCTGCCCCCCAATCTAGACTAGACAGGAGCATGTGCATAGGTATAGGTAAGAGATAAAATTCGCAGCACATCGAATCCAGGAACAGGAACGGGAATAGAGATACCAAAAGGGGAGGGAGAACAGGGGAGGGGTGAGGAGGAAGGGGGAACCGATCGCATGAATGGCACATACCACACACCCCCAGACAGGGGAAAGAACAACAGAAACCAGAGGGGAAGGGAGACAGAAGGTGGTGGGGCGGAGGGAGATTTGAAAATAATTAACAATCTACAATCTATCAGGGGAACACGAGGGTTGGGGTGGGGAGGGAGGGAAAAAGGATGAGCTGATTCCAAGGGCTCAATGGAAAGTAAATGTCTAGAGAAGAACCCTGGAATACATGTACGACTATGTCAGATACAGTTGATGTATGGTTTGTAAC